GAAAAGCTGCTTACAGTATCTGCTCTGTTTATATATATATATATGTATATATATATATAGATAGATCTTAGATAGATAGATAGATAGATAGATAGATAGATAGATAGATAGAGAGATAGAGAGAGAGAGAGAGATAGATAGATAGATAGATAGATAGATAGAAAGAAAGACAGACAGACAGATAGACAGGTAGATGGATGAATAGATAGATGAATAAATGGATACATGGATAGATAGATACGTATATAGAAATAGACAGATAGGAAGATAGATGGATGGATGGATAGATAGGTAGAGAAATAGACAGACAGACAGACAGACAGACAGACAGATAGATAGATAGATAGATGGACAGGCAGATCGACACATAGACAGAAAAATAGATAGGTAGATAGATAGATGATCTGTCCTTAGGTAGATAGCTAGATGAACGGATAGGCAGAAAGATTCACAGATCGATACATAGAGAGGTCGTTACAAGCGTATTCTGAGTTCTATAAAGCTTGAGGAGGTGTATGGGGGTTAAGTTTTCGAACTTGGAGGTAAAGGTTGGAGGGTTTTGGGTTTAGGGTTTAGGGTTTGGGGTTTAGCGTTTTGGGTTAAGGGTCTATGGGTTTAGGGCAGCACAACGAAAGAAGTTTGAATAATAACGACATGAAGAAGACGAGGATGGAAAGCAACTGCAACCGATACCGCTGTTGTGGTTTCTGTTGCCGTTACGGTCGGTGGTATTGCTACAACAACGAACACCAAACGGTTCAGGGTTTAGGGTTTTAGGTTTAGGGCTCGGGGTTTAGGGTTTAGGCTTCAGGGCTTAGTAGAGGATTGTTTATAGGGTTTAGGGGTTCAAGTTTCGGGTTTATAAGATCGCTTGTAGGGTTTAGGGGTTCAGGGCTTAGGGGTTGGGGCCCCGGGCTTCCGGGAGGGGGAGTCCGCCGATTCAAGTTCGGGGACTTGGAGGTTCATGGGTAGTTCGGGTTTAGGGTTTAGGGTTTAGGGTTTAGGGTTTAGGGCGCCTTTCAGGGGTTCCGTGTTTCGGGTCGAGGGTCTACTTGGAGGTGCATGGGTAGCTAGAAGTGGGGCTACAGGTCATTATGGATCCTAGCCATAGCTATCCTACTTACAAACCCACTTCTAAACCCTAAACCCCAAACCCTAAGCCCTAAGCCCTGAGCCCTGAACCCTAAACCCTGAACCCTGAACCCTAAACCCTAAACCCTAAACCCTGAACCCTAAACCACGCACCTCCAGGTACGTTTGCGGCTGGCCCTAAACCGCACAGCTCTTGGACCTGAGGTCCTACACCCTTGAGTCTTAAGCTCGAACTTCTGGGACGAGGGTTTAAGGTTTAGGGTTTGGGGTTTAGGGTTTGGGGTTTAGGGTTTGGGGTTTATGGTTTCGGATTTAGGGTTTAGGGTTTGGGGTTTCGGTTCAGGGTTTGGGGTTTGGGGTTTACGGCTTAAGGTTTAGGAGGGCATTCGACTTAAACCCAAAAGAGACAGCCCTTGGATTTCCTGGAAAGAGCCAGGATCCCTTGCCCTTAGCCCTGAACGCCTTCCAAGTCCTACCCAGGGTCAAAACCTCCCCTCAACCCTAAACCCTAAACCCTGAAACCCTCAAAACCTCCGAGCCTTTTTTTCTTCTTTCTCTCAGCCGCCCCCTGCGTGCAAGTCCTCTGGGCCTAATTCAGCGAGCTGCTCCTGCAAGGACAAGGGTTTAGGGCTTAAGTACTCCTTTCGGGTGCGGATTTTTTAGGGCGTAGGGCTCTTCTTACATGTTTACAAGGGTTTAGGGGTTTAGGGGTTTAGGGTTGAGGGTTTTGGGTAAGTGGGGGTATAGGGTCTACGGTTTACGGTTTGGGGTGTAGGGCTTTACACCGTGCCATGGACTCTTCCGTGAGTCACAGCCAGTGGCAAGCACAGGCTGGGCATCATGCAGGTCAGGGTGCTGAGCGGGAAAAGGGTTCAAGGTACCCCAAGCACCCGAAGACTCACAAAGCCCAAAGTGCTGAGGCAGTTTACAATTCAGCTCCCTTAACCGTGTCACTAAACCCGAAAACCCCACCACCCTAAAACCCGAAGAGCCCCCAAAACCCCCCCAAAAAAACCCTAAACGCACCAAAACCCGAAGAGCCCCCAAACCGTCGAGTCTAAAAGCCGAAGTCCCCATGCAGCCGGGGCCTTGTCGCTCTTCTCACTCGGGGTCTCCACCAGGAAGGCGTTTGTCTTGCCTGACCAACAGACGAAAGCCTCGCCTTGGGGGTGCAGGACCTTGGCGATGTAGGTGGGTATTACCCAGATTCAGACCTCGATATTGAAGTCGGATAGTTTGCGAATGGAAGAGAGTCTGGGGTGCGGCAGCCGCAGTTCCTCTGCTCCGAGTTGCGGCAAGCACCAGCTTCTTGATGTCCTAAACTCCCGAAGCCCAAGGCGGGTTTGGGTTTTGGGATCTGGTGACAAACCGCCCTGCCACCAATCGCACTGCTGGCCTTTCCGATCCAGCAGTGACAAGTCCAGCTCGTAGTCTCTTCCTTAGTTCGGGCAACGGCTTCGAACGTAACAAATACCAATACTAACAATAATAGTTATAACAATAATAGTAATAATAATAATAATCATCATAATAATAATCATAATAATAACAATAATAATAATAATAATAATAATAGGAATAAGAAAACGAACAGCAATGATTCTAAATGGTTCGCATCACCGCCATGATCAACAACCGCAACAGAAGCCTCAGCTTCGGCTTCGGAGTCACCATCACAACCACCATCACCAGCGTCGCCTCCATAACGGGCCGGTTTAGGGTTCAGGGTTTAGGTTTAGGTTTAGATGGGTTTAGGGTTTAGGGCTTAGGGGCTCAGGGTTTAAGGTCCAGGGTTTAGGGTTTAGGGTTTAAGGTTTATGGTTTAGGGTTTAGGGTATCACAAGCATGGCCCTGTCAGGACACGACGCATAGTATCCCTGACATACCGACAGCAAACGTGATAGAAACAGCAGGTTGCATGTCAGGGGCAAGGAAGCCGAGAATCCGCAATTCACACCTGCGAAGTTCTGATTCGACCAGACCTCGAAGCCGTTATCCTGAACCATAGGCACATGCCGCAAGTTCCAGAAGTCGGATAGCATGAGCCCAAAATCGAGACTCTACCCAGTATGCCTCCATGGAGGCCCCGTAAGCCCTGAACCTGAATCATGAGCACTCGGGCTTCAAGGCTTTTGTGCTCTTCATCCGAAGGCTCTGCTTCGTATCTGGAGGCACAACTTGCCGACGTAGAGGTGGCAGACACAGCCAGCGAGCAGCAGTGCGATGTAGCCGTGGAGGCAGTACCTGATGCGCAAGCCCCTGAGGCGCGAAATCCATGAATCCTGAACCCGAAACCTTAAACCCATAAATCCTATCTTCAACCCTAAACCCCAAACCCATGCATCCTGATTCTGCAAAAAACTTTCAATCTTGAAGCCCGAACCCCCGAACCAACCCTCCGAAACCCGAAGCGAACCGGCTGCTCAAAGATCTACCTAAGGTTTACGGTTTAGGGATTAGGCTTTAGGGTTTAGGGGTTCAGGGGTTTAGGCTTTAGGGTTTCAGGGGG